ACGCCACTCGATCCTAGCGACAATGCAAAGTTAGATCACTCGAGTGGCACTAAATGACTGATATGCAAACAAGTTTGCCCCTCTTGATAGTACGGCCATCTATTCTAAACCCGGTCATAAACTTCTCTACACACCTATGACCGGTGAAATGAAATGCCCTAGGTTATACCTTTGCCTTGCGCATTCCATTCCATCTCCTTCAATGTCGATGCAACACATGCACCAACACGATCAACAATGATATGATCCACTTCATATCATCACATGATCATATTGGTTCATCGATCTTGACTCTACTTGCTCTTCACCGTTGCTATCGTCCATCGGCGCCAAGTCTTGCTCAAGCTTCACCGCCACGCGGTCCATCACTCCAAAGCCTTTGACTTGCCCTTCACGCTTGCAACCGGTCCATCAAGCCAAGTCTTGTCTTGATCTTCTCCACCTTGATCACATGACTCAATGTCATGTCTCATATGCAACGAGCTCCTTCATCATCACATATGTGAGCTTTGCAATATCTCCAAGCCATTTCCACGTTCATGTCATATGTTGCTCACACACATGTACATGTGGACTAATCACCTGTGTATCTCATATAAACACAATTAGTCCACCTAGATTGTCACTCAATTACCAAAACCACACAAGGACCTTTCAATCTCTCCTTTTTGGTAATTGATGACAACTCTACAAAGATATGGAAATTAAGCTCTTTTGGATTTATGTTGCTTGCCCAAGCAATTTTACCATGTGAAAATAATTTTGGACAAGTACCACAAACCCGAAATGGTAGCAATTGCTCCCCCTACATATGTGCTAAGAGTTCGGATTGTAGCTTGCATATATGCATAGATTAAAAATATGGGAGAGTAATTACTACAAGATGATGCTAAGGTATATAGAATAAACCTTTGAAGCGTGTACCAATCGGAGTTGCACCTTTAAGTTCATCCTTAGCACCATGGTTAGCTAGATAACACTTGGAAATAAAAAGCACTAGATACCTCATGAGATCAACATTAAAATCAAGGTACTATCATTTACTTGAAAGCATACCAAGTGTCTAGCTATCATCCTATGCATGCTAGTTATCAAATCATCATTCAAGTTCTATAACTAGCATACACCACACAAGCATGTATATTGAATTTAAGAACATATACGATGCAAGCAAGCACATGAATATGCACATATCAAATGCAATCAATCAAAGTTCATGAGCTTGCTCCCCCTACTTGTGTGCTTCTCTTGTCCAAGAATTGTGATCCATTCTTTTCTCCAATGTTGCTCCCTCTTTGTCCATGTCCATGTCCAACCTCTTTCATATCTTATCTTCTTATCTCTCCCCCTTTGTACAATCTCTCCCCAAGCTTCATATCTTTGTACAATCTCTCCCCCTTTGTCATCAATTTCCATGAAAGGTATGCTTTTTATTGATGCAAAGGTGTGCCCTTTGGGGTAGATGGTTGAGACTTGAATCGTGCATTTTTTATGGACATTACTTGATTGTTGGAATGACACTACATGTAGATACCATTTTGAACTTGTAATTTGTATTACATGTATCTTATCATTCTATGCATGGGTCATCCATTTTATGCACTTAAGCTCTTGTAGGTGAGGGATGCATTCTTCATTTGATGATCACTTAAAGCTGAGGATTACTTGTGGAACCATCATCTTGCATGAATGATACTATGTATAGATACCACTTGTAGGAAGTGAATATCATTTGAAAGAATCTTCTGGTTTGGAACCACTTGTTGTATTTTTCGATAAAAATCATTTCTTGAACATTTACTATCTCTATGAGTACCACTGATAGGATATCACTTGTGAGTTGATCTAAACATCACTTGTGAATTCTTGAAGAAATACTTGAGTCTAGATACCACTTGAAATAAATAAACTAGATATTCATTTACATTGTTGCCTTGTGCTTGTACTCTTATTATTTATCATGAGCTTTTATGTTGACTTGAATTAAATTGATTTGCCTAAGCTTTCAAGTCCGGTTTGAACCAATGACAAGCTTCTTCACACCTCTTTTAAGGGTTATCTTGTCAATGTTATACTTGTTACTTGTTTAGCAATCCAAATTAAAATCAAGTACTTGGGTTCACTAGCTCATGAATAAATTCATATACTAACCACTAGATCAAGTAATCATTCAAACAATAGTGGTAGGCTATGAATTTAAACATTTCATTTGTAATGCATGATCCTATGAAATATGTACTATATGCACTAACCGCATACTAGTAAGGGATGAAATGATCATGCACATTACAATGATACCTTTGCTATGTTGGAGTAGAGGATAGTCACATAGATTCCAATCCATTACTCCAATAGTAATGTGAAGTCCAATTATAAGCTTGGTGAAGACCAATAGATACCATGTGGAATTTCATTCTTCGCCCATATGAAATGAATACCACTTATGATCAAGTGCACTTTCTTGTTGTGGTTGGCTTGCTTTATCTTTTGATCAATGCTTGCATGAGAGAACCATTTGGAATACCACTTGAGATATCATGACTAGCTTTCTTTTGGGTGTTGCTTGCTTTTCTTGATCAATCCTTTTGATTGCTTCAACTAAGCATCTTAAATGTCCCTCGGATCACCACTTCCATGTTAGCCTTCCAAGTACCACACTTGGTTTACCTACTCATAGGCGGCAAGCCCCTACACTAGGGAGAAATGACCTCTCTCCAAGAACCATTGTTGACACTCACTTGAAATAACTTGATTGATTGATCCAAGTGATGGACTTAACTTGATGAGTAACCTTGATTCCTTCTTTAAGTCCTTTTCTTTCTTCTTGTTTAAGTTCTTTTCTTTCTACCAAATGATTTCCAATAGTCACTAGAACTTAAACTTCAACTCCAACTTGAGTTTGATCTTGATCTTTATCTTGAGTACTAAAAGTGTGCAAAATACACTCCACAATCAAATGGCCTTGTACTCTTTGCTTGTCATGCTTCTAGATCATCTCAAAACCAAACTTAGGTACTTCAAACACTTGTAAACATGTTTTCAACTTGAGGACCTTTTAATCAAAGTGACTCTTGATTAATCCAACATTTGTCACTTTTCGGACAGATTTTGTACCCTTCAAAGAAATAAGCATATATCTCAAAGTACAAATCCAAATACCACGAAATTTGGTGGAGATGGGCTTCACTAAGTTATTTAGCAGCCATAAAAATTTTAGCTTCATTTCATCTCATATGACTGCCAAAATTGTAATTCTTCCACCACTGCTACATGCTGAAAACTGCTACACTATAGCTGACAAGAACCACTCCAAAACTAAAGCATTTCTTATCCAATTTCCATGAAATTTCTACAGCATCTCATACCATAAATATAGAGCATGTACACCAATTTTCAAGCCAATCCAATAAGATTTGATCACTCAAATATGGCTATGATCACAGCTAGCTCAGATTTTGAATATATGACATATTTCAAGCAATTGAGCTATACTTCATCAAATATGAACCAAACTTGAAACTAACTTGTTTGAATACTTTCATAAGACATATATCCATTCAAAACACTTACTAAATGTCATCTTATGAACTTATCCAATCACAAATCAATCCAAACTTGATTACTAAGCAATTATCCATTCAAACATCTCATAGCAAGCAACATTGCATATTTATCCAATTCAATCAACTCATATGCACCCAAATGAAATGATCAACAAGAGATATACCTTGGTTAGCTCATGATCATCCAACTAGCAAGCTTCAACTCAATTATTTGCACGTCATCAAATATTCCAATAAATCACCACAACTTGAATATGACACTTGTAAGTTGTAGCACATTTGGACTTCATTCAATTTGTCATGGCATTATGATAATGATCATCACTTAGCAATACTTGGTTCAACTACATGATCAATAAGATGAATATCATTTGAACCAAGCCTCCAATGCCGATGGTACCTACAATCAATCATCCACTTTTTGATGGTACCCAAATACGTTTGGGTCCTCTCAAGTTAGGAGCAACATACTTAGGCAACGCCTTAGTATGAGTAGCGGGATGTTTTGCAATTGCAACCAATGAGGTACCATTGCCATCCTTTCTAAGCATATCATAATCATCAATTGAAATAGGCTTAGAAATTTTACCTAGAGGACATGTCTCATGTGCAATAAGCTCCTTCATCATCACATGTGTGAGCTTTGCAACATCTCCAAGCCATTTTCACCTCTATGGCATATGTTGCCCATACACATGTACCTGTGGACTAATCACCTGTGTATCTCATATAAACACAATTAGTCCACCTAGGTTGTCACTCAATTACCAAAAACAACAAGGACCTTTCACCCGCCCCGTCGCGGGTGCGGGCGAGCTCGGCCCCGGCCGCCGCGGGCGCGCGTTGGCGAGCTTGGCCCCGGCCGGGCGCCGTGGGCGAGCTCGGCGATTTGCGTAGCGAGGAAAGAGAAGACGTTTTTTTGTGTAGCGTTTGGACGAGCAGGCAAAATACGTCGGGTCTTTGGTCTGCTGTTGGACGGGCTAGGCACATACTGTGCCGGACGTATTTTGGGTTGGGGTCTCTTCCTTAAGACAGTCTTACTCGTCGATAAATGCAGGGCGAAACTAGCTAGAGACGACAAAGGTGCGAGTGCGAAGCTAAGTTTTTGTAAAGGCTAAATCCTATTTTTCCCCTCTTCCGCCTCCGCTCCCATCTACATCGCCGCGACGCCGCCTCCGTCCCTGTCCCTGTCACGTCCGCCGCGCAAGAGCCACTCGAAGCCGCCGCGGTCATCCGCCCGCGCGAAGCCTCCGTTGCCGCCCCCTCCTAGAGCTCGTCGTGGGAGGCCACGCCAAGCTCGCCGCGCTGTGCGTTGCGACGGCAGCGGCGGCTGCTGTGCTGCGCTCGCCCCGCCGATTCCTCCGCCATCCGCCAAGCTTTTTCACTAGGGTCGGCTCGAAGGTCGACCGTGTATGCCCTAGCCTAACGGAAGCAGGAATGAAAGAGGCGATGGCTGCGGCTGCTCCGGAAGAGAGGCGGTGGCGGCGGGAGCCGGAGGGGGAGGCGGCGGCGGCGGACTGGGCGTGGAGCTGGGGTGCGGGCACGGACGGGCAGCTGGGGAACGGCGGATTCTACGATCATCACCTCCCGCAGCCGCTGCTTCTCCCCACTCGATGCCGCGGCCGTGTCTCTTTCGTCGCTGGTGGCGGCGCCCACGCTATCGCCCTCACAAGTAAGCCTGGCTACCTTAGGAGGCTCTAATAAGATTGGGGTTGATCAAGTGAGCTCTCGCCGCGGTTTCTCCATGTTTGATGTTTTGACCACTGTTGTAGAAATAGTAGTGTGATAATAGTAATTATGATTATGGCTCTCGCATTGCTAGAAGCTGAAAATTTGGTTTGTTAATGACTAGGTAGTTTTGGCAACCAAGTTGGGGCATATTGGCCTCCTACCATGCTCAGCTATCCAATGTATATCCAGGCAACATTAACCCAACTTGGTATGCTTCTAGAAGTAAATGTTAGCTTGGTGGCAGGTACATGGTAGACACATTACCACTGACACCTTGACATTATCAAAGTCGATTTTTGTGCAATCTGAATGTGTAATGTAAGAAAAGATTGTGAATGCATCTCCATACCATACTCCCGTACTGAAGCTACCATTTATTTTCATGCACGGCATTTTGTGGAGTAATCATTCATTAAGCATTCAGAGGAGAGAAAACCATTGATTAAACACTTCAACATGTTCATCTATCTGTGGCAACTTAACGACAACAACGAAATCTTTTACTTGTCCCAAGTAAGTTGGGGTAGGCTAGAGATGAAACCCATAGGAAAGAGCATAAACCATAGCAACTTCAATAAAACAGTTTAGTTATCAAGTGATGCTGTTTGTTCAAGGTTGACTGTTTACTTGGAGGCCAAATGTATATGGTTGATCAATCTCTAAAGAAAATTAGCTGCCATGTGTTAGTTCTTGATGCACCTTACAATTTTACTATTTTTTATGGAAATAAGTTGCAGTATACTCAACATTTCAGGTGATGGTGAAGTATTTACTTGGGGCAGAGGTACACATGGCCAACTTGGTCATGGGAACTTGGACAACATCCCTCATCCGAAGTTGGTTAAGTTCCTTGAAAATCATACTATAACCTGTGTGTCTGCTGGATGGAACCATTCTGGATTCGCTACAGGTCTCCAGATTCTAAAACTATTCATTTCTTATTGTGGTCGTTTGTATATAGAATCTTTTTTGTGTTTGAAATGTTCTATATGAAATTTATGTATTATATATGTTCATGTGTTCGTTTTTTTAATGAAGAGTTCACTATTTCTTTGGTATTACCACTGTTTATTGGAAAAGTGAACAATTGCTGATGAGCTTTACTATGATGTTTCTAGTTCTTATTTTCAGATTCTGGGCAACTCTTCATGTGTGGAGATGGCTCATTTGGACAACTTGGCACTGGTGATAACCTCTCAAGGAACTTTCCTTTTGAAGTGACATACTTTAATGCAAGGCATATTGAGAAGCTTGCTTTTGGTATGCGCCATTCTCTTGTACTACTGAAAGGTAAGTAAAACCATGGGCCTAGTTGTTGCGGTGAAAATCAACTACGTAGTTCTTTTTAAGAAACTGCATGTTCACAGACCCCAGCAATTTACTTTCTTACCTTCTAGAAACACTCATTCAGCAATCAGCATTTCCTCAAATCCATGATAATACCCTAGATCTACACTGTTTCAATCATAGTACATAATCTAGAGTTCTATTGTTCTTGAGAGTTGAGAGAAATTATTCCCAGCCCCACATTGGTATTATCTTTCACGTTACATTAGATCGGAGGAAGTGGAAGCTCTTTGGCCTCCATTGGGAGGTACACTACCTTATATATCTGTTGTGCAAATAGAAGATATCAATGAGTTCATCAAGGTGGAAGTGAGCTAAAAGCTAATGCTATGCCTGCCAAAGGCCACATAAAGTGGTGGCATGAATCAGTGGTGTTAGTTGTTCTTTTCACGCAGCACAGGAAACGATGCATATGGTGATGAGTTGTTAGATCATCACAGCTGTAGGATCAATGATTCACCATTCTGCACTGGTGATGCACATTTGGGAAATTGGGAGATGCTGTAGACGTTTGTTGTTCACAACTGTAGGATCAGAGCTTCTCCTTTTTGGTTTCTCGCTAGTGAGTAGTGATCTAAATGCAGGACAGCAGGAGATGCCGAGGGTGCCCCGATCTAAAAGATGAGGTGTTAGCATTTCCAGGATCTTACTCTGTTCGACCTGTGAGAAACTAAGAACTGAACCAGTGGCGGAGCCTGAACCAAAATTCAGGGGGGCGCCAATTTGCCAATTGAAACCATGTGTACATAGGCCTGCAGATTTTACGGATTGAAGAATTTGGAAGCAAAAATTAGAAGAATCAAAAAGAACTCAAATGTACATGTATGGGGCTATGGGCTGTACGAGAGAGCACAGAGCAGCAGAGGCAAAGGCCACAGGCCAATAACGGGCTGCTGTGTGGAAGCTGGGGTCAGGGCTATCCCTCACCGGTGCCGGGCGGTCTTTGTGGAGTGGACGCTGTCACGCCACGACTTGGACTCTCGGAGAGATGGAGAAGCGGAGGACAGGAACGAGCGGTGCTGCGGTGACTTTACGGAGCTGTATAGGGTGTGTTTGGTTCACTTCCTCGCCAAGCACTGGCTAGCAAAACTAAGATAGGCCAGCTCTAGCCAGCTTTAGCCAATGCAAGCAGCACATGTTTGGTTGCTGTCTGTATTTAAGCCTGGCCAGAATCGGTGTGTTTGGTTGCCTGATTTAGTTTGCATAGAATCACCTCTTCCTTCGACTGATAAGTTTACCCCCTTTGAGGACTTTAGTCGAACAGGTGGTGGGCGTGCTCGTCTACGCAGGAGTGGGTACCTGCGAGCACCTTGGCTGGCGAGCATGGCAGCAGGTGCCACATCTGCAGGGGGGCCGCGTCTGCAGGCGTCTGCAGCGGTTTGGGTTAGGGCCGTGCTCTCGAGCTGTAGGGGCGCGCTGCCGCGGTGGGTCTCCGGCCGGTAGCGGCGAATTGCATCTCAGTTGCTGGACTGCGGTGGGTCTCAAGCGCAAGAAGCGAGCACCTCCATGGGCATGCTCGGCAAGGAACTCAAGTCACAGACAAATCCTTGCGTTGCTTTGCTTTACGGAGCTGGACTGCTGGAGATGCTCGAAAGTTGCTTTGGTGGGTGGTGACAGCACGGTGGCATCTGGATCTCAGTGCGTCCTTGTGCTGTGCGGCTTGTCGTCATCCAGAGGCGCCTCTTGGCTCATGGGCTAGCAGAGCTCGAGCACCGCCACCAGGAGGCGTGCTTCCGAGCTCGGGAATCTCGTTGGAGTAGCAGGAGACGGGACGGTGGTGGACGAGGAGAAATTGGGAGGAAGATGTGTGCTCGGTAGCCATCCTTGGGAGCTGGGACTGCGGCGAGCTGCTCGCCGAGCCACCACCCACCACCGCGGACGCCGGGCGGCTGGGATCGGGCAGGGCGGCGGCGCGTGCCCGGTGACATACGACTGGAGAGAGAGAAGAACACCGGGAGGTGAGACGAGCGAGGGCCTAAGCCTGGCCACGGGAAAACGCCCGCACCGCTCGTTCCCGGTTAGCCTGGCTACGACCCCCTCGTTGGCTTCCGTAAGCCTGGCCAGGACCCCTTTACAGGCTACCAAACAGGACGAGGTTGTATTCCTGGAGCCTGGCCAGCCCCTTAGCCAGCAAACCAAACACACCCATAGAGTAGCGTTGGGTACTGAGCCCCTCCCCCCCACGTATCTCCGCTATTGAACTGAACCATCTCTCCTGCTTTTTACATTGATGAAGTACTTAACAAAATCCATATGCTTCACCAACAGATGACACTGTATTTTTCTTCTCAGACATGGGGGGGGGGGCATGGCTCACTATGCCCCCACCCCCCACCACGTAGCTCCGCTATTGAACTGAACCATCTCTCCTGCTTTTTACATTGATGAAGTACTTAACAAAATCCATATGCTTCACCAACAGATGACACTGTATTTTTCTTCTCAGACAATTCAGTGTATGGATTTGGCTCTGCAAGACGAGGTCAAGTTGGTAAATGTGTTTCTAGGAACCAAAAAACATATAATGTTCCTAGACTGATTGATGGTTTTCCAAATTGTAAGATAGTAAATATATATGCCAATGGTGATCACAGTGCTGCGTTGGATGGTAAGCTTTGTAGTTCTGTAGTTGTTGACTCTCATCTTCTCTTCAGTCTTGGACCATAATCCCCCTTCCATTTGATGTGACAGAATCTGGTCATCTGTACATCTGGGGAAGAGCATTAATTGGAGAAGATGATGATGACCAACCACTGCGAATTTTACCCTCTTCGAGTGTTTCTCAAGTGGCACTAGGATGGCACCATGCATTAGTTTTATCTGGTGCGTGTGCAATGTGTTTCATTCGAACTATACTTTCTGGATAATAAGCTCTCACATTTATTGCCGCTTTGTATCACAGCTGGAGAATTGTACACACTTGGTGTTTACCGCCACCAGAAATGTGATCTCCCTGGATTAGGAAATGTATTGGGGCAGCAATCGAACACAAGGGCAACAAGCAGCTCTCATGATCGTTCATCTTCTTTGTCAATGTTGGAGACGGTTCCATTTATCGATGGAGAACAGGTGGTGCAGATAGCAAGTGGAACTGAGCATTCCGCTTTGGTAACAGGTAAAAGTTCTTCCAAAGGCTGGTGATGTGCACATAAGAAAAAGAAATTCACGATGAAACCAACTAATTTGATCTTGCTTATTTTGTTGTCAGATAAAGGAACAATCTTCACCTGGGGCTGGGGAGAGCATGGACAACTTGGTTTGGGCGACACTTCGGATCATGTGGCTCCTCAGAGAATAGATATAGGTGACAATGGGCAGCGCACGTCTGGTTCACTTGCCGTCTACTGTGGGAGTGGATTTACCATTGCGGTGAAATCGCCCGTAGTGGCTGTCTAGTTTGTGATGCACATACCAAATTCTCCTTGCAACACAACAGCAAGAATAAACAGCTGACAGCACTTTGTTGTGATGCCATGAAGATAATGGTTGAATTGTTTGTGCAAATATTTTGGCGCCTCTGATTTTGAGCGACACATTTGACTTATTAGAGGTGGAGCTGAGAGAGCCTGGGAGAAAAATAAGAGTACAATATCGTTCGGTGGCTATTTTCATCGTTGCACAGAACCTTATTCTGAGGCTGCATACAAAATAAATAACACAGTAGTGACGCATCTGGTTCTCGTTTGTAAACAAAACGATAGTCCTGGATGCTCCCTCCAAAAATGTCAAGCTGATGAGCGCTGGCCTTGCGAGTGAAGACAACACGGCAGATGGCAGCAACTGCACCTTTCTTCAGAAGAATCCGGCCATACACAACGCTGGTAGACGCCTAATCGGCTGGCTATACAGGAAGATACACGACTCTTGTGGAACCAAACGGCTCATTTCAACTAAAACATGCATATTCTAGCCATGTCTTAGCTCACGCAGGCTGTAGTTGGTAATAATAAGTCTAATCGAGAGTAAACAAAGAGTGTGTCAGGGAGTTTGAACGTTGAAGGAAAGGATACAACAAGTCCTTGATCTCGTGGCGGTAACTGGTAAGCATCAGTACGATATGGTCAGAAAATATGCATGCAGACGCCTCCCAAATGGGCCGCCTGCTGCCTTGGCATATTCAGGTTGGATGCTCGTGTTCCTCCGGCGACCTCGACGTCGAGGACGGGGGCGCCAATGGAACCGCGGGCCAGTTTCGCCTGATTTTGGCTGGTCTTTTAACGGCAGCATTTGCCCGGATATTCTGGTGAAGAGCTGAGGTGGTTTTAAAATCCTGGACTAAAGTTTAGGGGTGTCACATGTGAGTGTTCGGATAGTAATAATAAAATAAATCATAAAAGTCCTCAGGAATCGGCGAGACGAATTTATTAAGCCTAATTAATCCGTCATTAGCACATGTTTACATTAGCTTTACTGTAGCATCACATTGTCAAATCATTGACTAATTAGGTTTAAAAAATTCGTCTCGCAAAGTAGTCACAATCTGTGCAATTAGTTATTTTTTAGTCTATATTTAATACTCCATGCATGTATCAAACATACGATGTGATAGGGAATAAACTTTAAAGGGAGAAACTAAATAAGACCTGAATGTTCTTAAAATATTCCGACCTGATATCTCTTCTTGTCAGGTTTAGACCCTTTGAATCATAGGATTTTTTTTCCTCTTATTTTCTCTATTTTTTCTATGAAAATGAACTAACTCCCCGATGAAATTTCTACGTTCTAAGTCTTAGGTTCCGTTTTGAAGGGCTTTCAACAGTACTGTTCATAAAAAATCTCTCTTTCTCTTCTCTAAATAAATTAAAAATTGAGAAAAGCTAGTTTTTTTTTTTTTTTTTTTTTTTTTGCTAGTGTAGTATAGAGCCGGAGCCAGAGAGCCCAACCAAATAGACTCAGGATCAGACGCAATTTATGTGCTTCTTTCTTACCATGGGCGGTCCCAAGGCGCGGCCACCCCGGGCGTCTGCCCGAGCTCATATCAGGCATCGAAGGAAACAGGGAGACGATCAGCCTTCAGGCTTCAACCTGCAGTGCTGCAGAAACCTGATAGAAGAAGCAGAACAACATTAATTTAAAACTGTACAAAGCCAAAGATGGCGGAGATTTTAGCTCTCAGGGATTAATTCGTCTAGCTTCTTGCATCCAGCGAGTACCCAGCTTATCAAATTGAATAATTGATCTTTGCTATTTATTTTTAGTGGGTACCTATATCTAACTGATGGATCATCATTTTTCCACGGTTTAAGAATAAGAAAATAGAGTTGGCACGCACCGTAGGCTTGCAAAGACACACTCCTTTGAAGACTTTTAGTGGAAAATTGCTAACATATAATCAATTTTAGTGTCATATAGCGACACAATTGCTATGATATGTCTTGCTTCTTAATGTACACTGCTAAATGTTTTTTTTTTTTTGACAAAGGTAAACCGAACTTTTATAGAAAGCACAAATGTAACATTGTTTCAACAGAAAATGGTTAATTTTATTTTAAAACAACTAATATTGTCGACTTTGCTTATGTTAGTGGTGGATATGTTCGTGTGAACTTGGTAGTAGCTCTTGCGTTCGCCCAGGCTCTAGAAAATATCTAGGTCCCCCACTGTTTCCTACCCTACTTTAGTATTGTTCTCCATCCTTTTATGTTGCCGCTTTTGAACCTAGTGACATTTCATGGGTACCCTGCTTATCATGGGATGTGAATGGCTGAGGCTTCATCTAAGATTTGGTACTCCTACCTTGCAATTATTCCCGTCTGCCCCTCCCCTCCAGCCTTAGTTGTATAAGCATTAATTAATCTTACTGAAACTTCAGGTAGACTGTAGTGCAAAGGAAATACTCCATCGCTGAGGCTCCAAAAGGTAAAAAGAATTGCTCATACACAAAATTACAATAACAATTACAGAAGACGAGCTCGTGACTAGAAAATTTCCTGCACTGTTTGTTTCACTGAAATTTGGCTGTTGCTGATGATGATTCTGATTTGTTATGAGAGGAAAATACTGTTCGTTCGCTGAAAAGTACTGCTGAAGTAGTGCTAAAAAACAGAGCGGACCATCAACGATCACGTGGGGATGTTTTCATCGCCATTTTCCTCTCATCCTAATAAGCATCTCATGGCCCTCTATAATGTGTGCAACCCCATCACAAGTTTCACTTCTTATCTGCTTTAGAAAAACTCACTAATTATCCTGTACTCTCTCTAATAAAGAAAAGATAACATTTTCAGATTTTGGATGTCATATCTTTTTTTTGAAAAAAAAAAACTTTTGTTTTTAGCGCACACAAATCTACCTCCAACAATCTTTGCACTATTCCTTTTCCCCCTAAATTTTATAACAATACTCTCTCCCTCCACCTCCATCAATATAAAATATATTTTAGTAACAGAAAAGTCTTCTAGAGTAGATTTTTACTCTTATTTCTGTTACTATGCATTATCAATGGCTGAAAACTTAATACCATCTTACAATTCCATTTAATACACATTTTTATGCAAATTTTTGTACACTAGACATGTATACAATTTGAGCAATTTCTGGTCAAAACTTGCGAAGTTTGAATTTTTTCTACAGTAGCATTATATTGATGGGCGAATGGGTATGGCAGTGCAATGATTGATTACATTACAGAGCAAGATGCTCCTTTTTTTTAAGAAAAAAAGGAAGAAATGTGTGGGAAAGATAGATTACATTACAGAGCAAGCATTTGCCACCTTACAAAGTGACAGACTAATTCGCAAGTAAAAAGTGACAGAATATCTCACTAACAAGATCTAGGCTAAATAATAATCTTTTTTACAGTTGTAGTTAGACAAAGGTGAAAAGGACAAGAGAATAATGAAAAATTATCAATGAATTCAAATATACTATTAGGCTGTTCTCGACCTCACAATTTCGAAGAATCCAGCCAAGAACACTTTAATGTGTACCATATGTATACAGTACACTGTCAAACAGACCTAAAGTTTTTTTTTCTCTCTGTTTTTCAATATAGAACTGGAAAGAAATGGCGAGAGCAATCTCCTTATCACGCACCCCTCCGGGCTTCGGCTGCTCACTAGTTCGCTCTCCCCCTTCCTCACAAGTCACAAAGGTTCAAGACGTCTGATGAGGTTCCAGTCCTGAGTAGTGTAATAAATGTCCAAGAAACAAACATTCCCTTTCGAGCCATAATAGTCTGCTCTTTCCGCGGAAAGCAAAGGGGGTGACGGTGAGGGGATGGCGAGGCGCAATGATGGCTGGGGCGACGGCGACAAGATCAAGATTGGTGTCTGCGTCATGGAGAAAACGGTCAGCGGTTGGACTCTGGGGAAACTAATGTTTTGATGCCTGCGTTTCTTCTTGCTGATTTGATTGATTTTCCCTGTGGAAACTTTGTAGGTGTCGTGTTCTCCCATGGAACAGATTCTTGAAAGGCTGCGCGCGTTCGGCGAGTTCGAGGTATGGCTCAGAAATGTGCTATGCCGGTGGATTATCCTTTGCGTTCCGTTCCTATTCTTGCTGATTACTTGTTCGTGTTTTTCTAAATAAATAAACAAAGGCGAATACAGTTTACTAAATGATATGAAATAAGAAGCCGTAATTATACAATCAGCGATTTTGCTTCCACTTTCCTTTACATGTTATATAGAAGGTTGATTTCTGGAAGTTACATTGTTCGATCCCGTGAAACTTAAACTCTGCCATTTTGTGACATCATGAATATGCTACCAGCCTACCATGGCATGGTCCTTGGTTTTTTTGTGTTAATACAATATAAATCCCATCCAATTCATAATCTCTGTATTTTTTACCCCTTTTTTCCCTGAAGAAGCAGGACAGTTCAGTTTATACTTTAACTTTATACTGCTGAAGGTACATATACCAGGTCTAGTTCCCTTTATTCTTCTGGCCCTGTTGGTGTTCAAATGTCTGAATCCTGAAACTACTTTGCAAGCAACTTCAATAACTATTTGTATTATACTGAATATCAAGAGGTTAAAATAATATGTTTATGCTTTGTGGGTGCAGATTATAATTTTTGGTGACAAAGTGATTCTTGAAGATCCCATTGAAAGGCAAAGTTCAGCTAGGCGCTAGGCAGAATCTAGGTGCTGACCCATTGCCTAGCGCCTAGTCGGAAGTACTCGGTCTTAGGCGCTCCTAGGCGTTTTCCTAGGCGTTTTGGCAATATAGCCATAAATTATATATATATTATGTATATAACTATATATATGTATATAACCAAAGTTCAGCTACGACGAGCAGGACCGGCGGCGCGTGAGTCGGGGACGAGCAGGGGACGAGCTTGGACAAGCAGGGGAGGAGCAGAGGAGGAGCAGGACCGGCGGGGAGGAGGTCGTCTGGCAGGATGGACCTCGCCCGGCGAGGAGGACCGGCGGCGGGGACGAGCGAATGGCGCCGCGCTCCCTTCTAATCCTCCCGCGCCTGGGTCTCGTGGCCGCGCGGGAATTCCTCCCGCGCTCCGATTTGGCTCGCCAAAATTGGCCGCCCTCGAGCTCGCGCTCATCTCGCGCGCCTACGCGCCGCGTCCGCGCCCGCCTAGCGCGCCTACACGCCGCCTAGCGCCGCGATGCGCGACTATGCCCCTAGTCGCGGCGACGGGCTTCGCCCAGCGACTAGGCGCGCGTAGTCGCCGCCTAGCCGAACTTTGTTGAAAGGTATGTTAGATAAGTGCGAAGAGTAAATCTTTTAAGAAATCTGGTTGTAAATTTTCTGTGCATTGATGAAAATTAAGTAGTGAATTGTGCAGACAAAAATTTACTTGAAGTATGAGGTTAGGATAAATACCATTAACTAATGGTACCACTCTAGCATGACTATCTAATCATTATTAAGCAAGTAACTGATACTATCTGTCCCGCTGTTCAAAATACTTGGGGTTTATTTTTACTTAGGTGTATAATCCCATCACCCATGAGCTTTGCAGAAGTCTCGGCTTTCCAGGGAGGATTTATTCTGTGTTTCTGGATAAATCTTATCTCACATTAATTATGTGATGTCCTTTAGTCATCATTATCTGTTAACTATGTTTGTGTTGAGTTGTAGGCCAACATTTTATTTGGTGACACCATCCTAAGTTCAAGTTGGCACATTCATTATACTATCTGTTACTGTTTTTTTTGGCAGTTGGCCTATATGTGATTGTCTAATCGCCTTTTACTCGTCTGGGTATCCACTAGAAAAGGCAGAGAAATATGCAGCTTTACGAAGGTTAAATACCTCCCCAGATTCAAGCATAGCACTTGTAAAGTGTTGGATTTAAATATGTACTGCCTCCATTCTAAATTGTAAGCCGTTTTGACTTTTCTAGATATATAACTTTTGCCATGCACCTAGATATACGCTATGTTTAGATACATAGTAAAAACTATTTATCTAAAAAAAGCGAAAATGACCTACAATTTGGAACGGAGGGAGTATTAGATATTTGATCCATGTGTGGCTTACATATTGAATTATGGATTTACTAGTTCTAGTGTTATTCCAAATACACTTTCTTTTAGTCTGCAAGATCTACATCAATCAATTTTCTCTTAATCTGTTACAGTTAACTCGAATGCACCCTTGACTAATAGTTCAGTCTAAACCAACTCTCCTAGTAATAATATTTTTGGAATCCTATCATCATGACATTTATTTTCCTAGACATGAGTTCCTCTATGCCCTTTCCCATGACTGAAGAAATGAAACAGAACTTCAGAAGTTATATTTTCTTAATATATTCCTTTTGCTTCTTGCTTGGACAAACATGCAAGTGACAAATACATTTGATTGCAAGCAAGGGGGCTCATGAGTTCCTATGAAGTAACTTAGATATTGTTCTTTAGGCCCTTTTTGGTGAACGAGCTGGCCCCGCAATACCTCCTTCATGACCGCAGCAAAGTATATCAGGTATTAACATTACTAATTCCTTGGTCGTCAAATGAGTTTCTGTTGTCTCTATTAGATGCTTTTAAGCTGGATTACTTCCCTTTCTCTATTTTTTTGAGGGGGTGCTAATTTGAACTAAATAGAGAACAAACAAATTTTCGTTCTTAGTTTTTAAAATAACAGAATATAAACCAAAAAGACGGCAGTAATATTATGCGTGGACGTCTCCTGTTTAACCTTAACACTCTGAATTTACCCTTTTTCTGAATCTCTTTCTCTCCCCAAAAAAAGTGGGACCAACGTAAGAGGAACTAGCCGGTTTTTCAATAAGAAGAAAATAGGCACCCAATTCAAGAAGAAGAGGACTTGAATCTAGGTGCTTGGGCCCATTACCACACCTCTCTCTCACCCAGTTGGGCTCACTTCCTAATCGCGCCCCCCCTCTCTGCTTGCCATGACCATTGTGTGTACTTCATTTGGCCTTATGATAAAATAACTGTTACTCACTAGCAGATATTCTAGGTAGGTTTCATGGGAATAGATGATTTATGTCATGTGGGGCGTCCAGTACCGACGCCGGCCGCGCGTCCAGGAGCAGAATTAGGCATGCAGATCATCAATCAAATATTGCTAGAATAAAGGAGTTTGTTTCCTTTTGTTAGCAGGCCACGGGCCTATATAACTCATGTAATCGGCACTTTTTGGATTAAGCAAGAATGATCAACCCTAATCCTCCCTCTTCTTCCTAATCTCACCTCCTTCACCATTGGGCAGCCGGGCAACAACCCCGACGCCATTACTCGTCAAGGCTACGAGCTTCGTAGCCGAGGACCCGCTGTCTTGGGCATCGACGCCCTTGACAACCTGGTATCACGATCCAGGCCTTCCTCACCCAGCCGCCCACCATCGCCACCACCGCCGTCCCGCCCTTCCTCTGCGCCGCCCACCCCACGCCGCGTAGACGCCATGGGTGACAACACCGTTAACAACGCCAACAACGCCGCCTTGCAAAGCGATTTTGAACTCCTCGGTCGCGTCCATCGGGGCGCTCCAGACGTCCGTGGAGGCCAACGCTTAGGCCATCCGGCGCTTTGACGCGCGCGCCACCACCCCGGGCGGATCGTCATCCTCCGCACACTCGGGTCGGGGAGCACCACCAAGATCGGCGCGCCGCTGTTTCAAAAGCTCGACTTCCGCGCTATGACGGCAAGTCCGACCCGCGATCTTCATCAACCGGTGCGAATCCTACTTCCACCAAAGCAAAGGATCATGGAGGAAGAGAAAGTGTGGATGGCTTCCTACAACTTGGAGGAGGCGCCCAGCTGTGGTACATCCAGTCCAGCAGGAGCGAGGGCATGACCCGCTGTCTTGGGCATCGATGCCCTTGACAATTTATAATCCAATTGTACTTACAGAAAGATTTTCTTCTGAAACCAATAGAAAAGTCTGATGAACTCTAGTTTGCAAAGGTTCTATTGTCTTGTAATATAGTCCAAACATACATTATCTTGTTCCAAAATGTTGATTTTTCTTTTCTCTTTCTCTTTTTGCCATTTAGCAACTTAAGTTGTATGGGGTTCCTGTTCCAACCTATGCTGTTGTCAGAAGAGAGTACCCTAATCAAGAATTAAGCTACTTTGTTGAGGAAGATGATTTTATTGAGATCCATGGGAAGCGGTTTTGCAAGCCTTTCGTGGAGAAACCCATTGATGGTAACAGCTCATAATTTGATAAGTTTTATAATGTCCTTCTCTTGCTCTATTTCTTGTTGACTCTTCTCTGTGTGGGGTCTAATAATGTCAGCTGTCATTTTTGTTTGGCCCAATACATTTATGCCCAAAGGGATGGAAAAAGTGGTACTCTAGCTGAGAAGACTAAGCTTGATTTCATGGCAGGATGCTATATTTGAGCTTACTACTTGAGAAAGGGAAATAAATCCATCCATATAACATTCTAACTCACCAACCACTCAATAATTTTCTGTATATGAACAGTACACAGCTAAACATGTGATGATGCACCAGGGCACAACACAGGTCTATTGGTCTAAGGTTTTTTGTCCAGTAATAGTTTATTAAAATTCTGTAAGGTATCTCATTAACATGGCACCTGGACCTTGCAGTGCTATGGATCTAACAAAAGATTATCAGGTATTTTCAAGACATGTTTTGACTCCTGAAGCATGCTGAAGACTCTTTTCCTTCCTTTTTTTCACTTTATAAAGACACATGCCCCTCTTGGGTCTTGTACAACCTAGTTTCTTCTCTGCCACAGTGACAACAAAGATGTTGGGTTGGAATATTCCTATTTTTTAGTTGTTGTCCTGTCGGGAGACAATCATGGGCTACTCTCCATAAGACTATTTTCATTTTAGGCGGTGCTATAATTTTCCATAGTTTCTTCCACTCTATCGTTGACTTTGATTGGTCCGACCTCTCCGCTTTACCCTTCACTGAAGCTTTCAGAAAAATTGCATCCCTTTTTGCCATAATGTATGCTGACTTGACAGTGTATATGCCTGATTTGGTAAATGGCCATGAAGCAACATCTTCAGTTCTGTTGTGGCTCAAGGGCATTTTAACGATGCGTTCTGCATCAGCCGGCCTAAAACAAGCATGCACCAGCTCCTCCTTCCATTGCCTGGTTTCCTCATCAATTAAGAAGTCTACTGTCAGCTCCCCAGGCAGGGGCACCAGTGGCACAATTGGGTGACATGGAGCCTGGGATTCGGGAATGGGAAAGACGGCAGAATCTGGGCGGGTACAGCTGGATGCGCTGAGATTCGTGTGCAAGACCAGCAAATCCATGGGTAAGAAACACAGCTGCAAATTGTAGCCGAAATTTTTGCCCTCGTTATTGTTTTCTTCTAATAATATTTTATGTTATATCTCTCCTCTTTGCCTTTTTATTTCGATAATGATCCAACACGGACGTATGTCCGTAACTCCTGTTCGGACGTGGCTCCATAGGGGCGGGCTCCATCTCTCTCAGAAACAAAAAATATATATCCCCACTTCCTCGTATGCTTATCCGCTCGGCCCTGAAACAGCGTGACCGCTCATCCGTCCGCCCTTTTCCCTCACCGCGCGCTCGTTGGTCTGTCGTGCCTGCCCTTCCCCCCATCGTCGGTCGCGCAGCGCGCCCTCGCTCCCTGCGCCGCTCACCTGCGTCCCAGTCACCTGCGTTGCTCACTCCCTTGTCGTCTGTCCATCGCCTATCGCCGTCGGGCATGCCGCTAACCCTGCCATGGCCGCTGGGGCGCACGTGCCGTGGCACCTCACCGGCTGAGCCAAGGGCACCCACGAGCGTGCCCAGTGCTGGTGGTGCTCGTGCGCTGCCGAATCCCACTCAACAACCGGAATCGACCGGCCCCGGCCTTGCCCTCCCCTATGTTGCAAATTATGTTTCAAGTGTTTTCAGTGGTATGTTGCAATTGTTACATATGGATGTTGTAAAAGTAGATCGAGATGTTGTATATTTTTTCAAGTGTTTTCAGTGGTATGTTGCAAGCGTTTTGAAAAAAGGGAAAATGTTTTATTTGTTTCAGACGTATATTGCAGCAAGTGTTTTATCTGGACGTTGCATATGTTTCATACACATGTTGCAAGTGTTTTATCTGTTTCAAACATATGTTGCAACTGACTGGTTCAAATGTTTCATTTGTGTCCGACGTATGTTGCATCCAAGTGTTTTATGTTGCAAGTGTTTCATGGAGCACGTTGAGTGCCGGGGATGAGGTGCGACAGAGCTTGGGGGCGCAGCGAGGTGGGGGTCGACTCCAGGGCCCCACCCACGCGGAGAGAGAGGGGGGTCAAGGGGAAGGAGCGAGACACAGCGGGGGGAGAAGGGGGCAGGGTGCGCGTTCGAGGCAGGGGCGGGCTACGCGGCCATCCATCCGAACACGAGGAGCGACAGGCACAACTTCGAGGGCAAGGTGCACGTGCGAGTTGGATCGAAGCGGATGGATGCAGGCTACGTGGGCGTCTAGTCTGGATGCGCGCGTCCATCCAAACGTTCGAGCGCTAGCCACGCCGTTTTTATTTAGCTTTGTTTCGGTTTGGAGAGCTTAAGGGGTGTTCACTTGTACCTTAAGAATGAATGCAGCAATAAACAAATTGTAGATTTTTTCCCTCAAACACGCAGGAGAGCTGCGCGTCAATATATTAAGATAGAACAAACGATCCGATTACAAGCCGACTCCACAGCATGGGTTAGTTTTTAACAGTCACCCTTTGAGATGTAAAAAGCCATATATAGTAACTAACCCAACACCTCTCCTAGAGCACTAGCTGCAGCCATCACCCAGAGCACTGCTTGCTCAGCAATCTCCTGTAGCACCAATGCACCATCCGGACATCTGGTTTACAAATTGTAGACTCAAAACTATACCGGGGACAAGACAACACCGTACAAAAAAAAATTTCTTCTTTTTCAATTTTTACTTTTACCTTTCAGGAATGGTCAAGAAACATCAATGATGCCGTCCAAATCATGCTCATACTTACAAGGATGAACATACAACAAGTATCTTAACTACAGTTCAATACAGTCGCAAATGAGCGCGCGTTTAGTTCCCCAAAGTTGGATTTTGGGGCTACTGTAGCACGTTCGTTTTTATTTGGCAAATAGTGTTCAATCATGAACTAATTAGGCTCAAAACGTTCGTCTCGCAATTTCCCACCAAACTGTGCAATTAGTTTTTTTTTCGTCTACATTTAATGCTCCATACACGGACCGCAAACATTCGATATGATAGGTACTGTAGCAACTTTTTAGAATTTGGGGTCCAACTAAACAAGGGCTGAGATTGCTTTCTTCAATGAAACAATAGGAGCTGCTGCTGCAGGGCAAGCATATGAGCAGTAGACGTGGTTTGGACACGAACTGACGAGCAGCACAAAAGATGAGCTCGAAATGAAGAGCTCCTGCTACTAGCAGCAGCCCCTTCAGTCATTGATGAACAGCTACAGAGGGGTTCTGAAACAAAGGAACCTCTGCAGCCACTCGCGGTCCTCCAGGGTCTGAATGTCAACTACTTCAATGATGCTTCCTTTTGCTCAGGAATGGAAATGCTCTCGTCAGGGGGCATTTTCTTTTCACCACAGCATTTGCTGCTGCTGGACCTCGCCTATTTCAGGTCAGATCAGGAGAGCCAACATGTGCGGCACTGATTCTATTTGAATTGGCTCCTAGAAGTCCCTCCAGTTGCTTTCAGTGCAGTCTCTCTGAATCTGCTCCCATTCAAATGTCTGACTGCAGCTTTCACAGGTTTATATGCAAATGTGCTCAGATCAGGACTGTCTGCAATTTTCGTAGCTGTGCCTGCATATTTGCTCCGATCAGGATAGCAGACAGTAGGTGCCACGGATGTGTATGCAAACGTTCCCAGATCAGCAGGACCATCAGTACTGTCTGTAGCTTTACCTGTGGTTTTGTCTAGATCAGAAGCAGCAGCTTTCATAGGCCTATAAGCAGCGCTAATATCAGGGGGGCTGACAACACTTTCCATATCACTTGTGTATCTGCTTTTTGAAGTGGGGCCTAGACCTGTTTTCTTTGCTGTGCGTCTGAATGTGCCTTGTTCTGGAGCTTTGAGAATAGATCTGTAGCAGAAATAAGCATGGCATAAAAAATAAATACTTATGCATAACAAGACTGTACTGTCTCCAATCATACTTAATTTCCTTAGAAGTTTTAAATCTCTCAAAAAAGGTTCTAGAGTTGCATACCTCACAGAAAGTGTATTCTTCACATCCTTTAAAGGAGCACGAAGGCCACTGGCACGGGGGCCTGGGTATCTGAAAGATGATACCAATGCAGCAAACTTATCCATTGATTTTTCTGCAATTCCACTGTATGTATTCACATGGGAAACATTGCATCCAAATCTTCTTTCAGTTCTTATATTTGTATCATCAGGGTCATCTGTATCTTGACCTGCAGAAGTTTCTTAGATTAAAACAAACGAATTAAGAAAGGCTTATATAGTTTGATACATAAAAAAATATATCACAATACAGGAAGAACTACTTGGAAGATCAAGAAGGCACCTAAGACTGTTACAGGATATGATGCCCCAAGGTTGCATCTCTAACTTATTGGACTTTATCAACTACTCAATCCATCCCAAATTGTAAGACGTTTGACTTTTTTGACACCAAGTTTGATCACTCGTCTTATTCAAAAATTTGTGTAAAATATCACTTCTTTCGTCGTGGTTTGGTTTATTAATAAAAATTCTTCAAGAATGACTTAAATTTGACTATATTTGCACAAATTTTTTGAATAAGACGAGTGGTCAAACTTGGGGCCAAAAAAGTCAAACGTCTTACAATTTGGGATGGAGGGAGTAGAAGAAAAGGTAGATAGTTACCTTCATCAACGACTGGTGGACTATCGTCAGAATGAATCGGTTGTAAAGTTTCCTGCATAAACAGCATATTTAGGACCAGCTATATACTGTGATATGAGGTGCTAGTTGTCATATGATGATTCAAAAGAAGAAAAATACATTTTCGAAATTTTGGATGCCAGAAAGCTTTCTTCTCTTCAACATGCCAGATTTCCTCAGTTGATCTCCAGAAAGATTACCAGTACCAACATCATAGTCATCATCTAACTGGTCTTCTTGATCTGTGCAAATTCTCTTATTCACCGTTTTAAAGTATGAACTCCTTACGGTAATGTCATTATTTTTAGAGGCCACAATGCTTTCAGTATGATGTTGAACTGGTATAGATGGTCCCACGTTATGGGGAAGTAAAAATGGCTCTGATGTCCAGGGCGAATTTCCTAGAAAAAAGAGAATACACACAAGCTAAGAATCAATGACAAGATTGTTTTGATTTTGTATAACCAAATGATTCAGATCATGGTTTGCAGATTGAATCATGAATCAACTATGCAAATCAGATGTATTACCCGCTAAGCAAGGACTTGTAGGTATTGTATTTTCGTTGCCATAGTCAGCCTCAACCTGAATGGTACAAACAAGCTTTGAGGGCGATAGAAATGTGGCTGCTACATGAGTTAATGAACAGGACAGCATTGGATATGTCTAGATGATGAAGTGATGGGAAGTACTACATACCTTTATGTCTTTAATGCTTGTATCCTTGTAAGGAGGATCACTACCACCACCAAGTGAACTGCATTGAGGTGAAATATTGGCTGAATCATCGAGGGGGTACTCACAGCTGAAACGCTCAGAGCTACACTGAGAGCCAACACTGATTGGGCCACTTTGAGGAGGTTCAGAGCTTAAATGCTCAGAACTACATTGAGAAGCTTGGATGTGATCTGTTGGCAACCTAGTATCTTCAACTGAATCAGGGGTACCAGAGCCTTGAGTTTGAGGGCTAGGCAAAGATTCATTCAATATTGGTTGCTTATGTGTTACTTTAGGCGCCCTGAATTTCCGTTTTGCCTCAAGGGATGCTAAGCCTTAGAAAAAGTCAAGGGTAATCCAACAGGCAGTTTATTATTGTGTACAAGTCATTCAAATAAAGTAATGAAGCCAATCACAACGTTGGTGTGAATATTATGCCACTAAAAAAACTACAGATTATGTCAACAGCCCCGCCTGTTAAAATACCGAGGGAAAATATAAGCTGTTATTAAATGATCTAAGACATGTCTAAGAACACAAACTTTGATACTGAGCTCAAGGCACTTATATTGTTGTGATTTTTTATATAATATGTCGATAAGAGTTTACTATTAGTAAGCAAACGATTGATGTGACGTATTCATGACTGAAATTGCAATATGTTGAGAGGATACAGAAATAGTTGGTCAATATATTTTTCTGCACAGGCAAATCTAGCTTCTTCCTCCCATTTGAAGGTGCAATAGGCTCTCTGGTTGGACAAACCTTATGAACAGCAGGTGCACTGCACTCTGGTTTGATCTGCAAGAAGCAATCAAGAAAAAAAAGGCTACAAGTAAATATTGGTAATTCGCATGTCCTGACAACTAAGTGCATGTCAGTAAGTATATAGTAAGAAGTGACACAAAAAGTGTATGTAGTGCAACAACCCAAAAAAAATGAAATTGTGACCATCTATGGTCCATATACACTCCCTAACAAAATACCCTTGCATCTCCATAAACCCTCCTGTTTGGAACATCCATATTTTCATGAAGTTATGCTGTGCTTTTCTGTGTAAATTTGTTTGTCTTAAAGTGCACGCATTTCATATGCAGTGTGCAATGAAATTAGATTTGTGCTTGGAGAGAGAGAGAGAGCATATGATAGAAAGTGGGGAAAACAAGCATAAAGTTCACATAAATGTGCATCAGTCCAAATTCTTTCCGAAAAGAGACAGGATACCTCGAATGGTTCCTTTGTGAGTGGATCAATGTTCCCTAGAGCAATGCCTTTGGCAATATTCTGTGGTAACCATGTAAAAAAATAATTAAGGAAAAGCTCTAATTCATGAGTTTCTTCTGAGTTTGAACTTTTTTTTAATTATTAAGAAAAGCTAGCAAGGCAAGGCCCTTAGCTTATTTCTAAACTCAACTGCAATGGTCATTAGACAGAGTGGCCTACTAAATTCAGGAAACAGCTTCACAACATCTAGAACAGTGGATAATCACATATGAAATAGCTTTAACATCAAAATATAAGCTTGGCAAAGGATATGGGCCCAAAAAATCCAAATCTTCAATGAGGTCATGAGGCACACTTGACAAATGAATAATATCTTCTGTAGCAGGATCATAGACCCTTTGGAACTTAAATGCCCAGATTGCCTTCTTGAAGTCCTCTTCATATTGAGGTGGAACAGAAACAGCACCATACCTCAGGTGCTTGATCACCTGCAGTTATACATGTCAATGAAACTCCCTTCACCGTCTGTTAAGTTCTAACTAGGCACAATGGTAGCATGTGCAAGTGACACACAGAAGATAGGGTTTACCTTTTCATGACACTTTAGCTTTTGGATGAGTGCATGAGCTCGTTTCACACCCATTCCTGGCAATGAGGGGAGATAGTCACAGCCACTTAAAATACACATCTCGAGTAACATTTGTCTTGTGAATCCATTAAAATCAAGCTCTCTATTTCGCTCTAGTCGTGTAATCTGAAATTCAACACCTTGCCCAAATTTGTCCATTTTGAAAATAATCTGCACATTAAAGAAAAGGTGTACATTATTAAAGGGCATATAACAAGCTATGAAAGGAAATCTAGCTGAGTATGAGAGGATTATGAAAGATGTAGAGCACAGGACAAAGGGTTGTAATTGTGTACTTACTCTAGAACAACCAAATGGTATCAAATCTGAATCCTCAGTGATCACAGCATCAACAAGTTTATTAACAGATAAGAATGTCATTTGTGCATCTGCTTCATAAGGTGCAACAATATAATCAACCTTTTCTTTCTTCAGTACCTACATCGCATATTTTAAGAAGCATTTAAACAAGTCTGTTAGAAATATTTTAACTAGGTGGTAACTGTTAGGTGTTAACATTACAAGGAATTTTAACTGTACCTCAATCAGTTCAGAAGCAATTCTAGGTGTAATGTCAACAGCTTTCTGATAGCACTCAAAAGCAGCACGTGAGTTCCCAGCAGCCTCATGTTCCCTGGCACGCTCAAGGTTTTCCTTTCTTGACCTGAAGGATGACATTTTTAGCAGGTAACTTACAGCACATGAGAAAGTGCATCAGGATAGCAAAGCAGAGTTTAAGACCTAACAGATCCACTTAAGATAGTGTAAAAGTAATGTAAATGTTTGTTGGCAGTTGAAACATGTTGGCTCTTCGCTGTTTAGAGCAAACGTGTCGCAAATAGAAACAATGTAATAGGTCCGCAAATATTCCGGTTCACTATCGTCTAGGTTCCGTCCTTCCTCAGTAATCCATGGATTATCGAGGAGTGTTGTAACCATGACACTATGCTTCTACCTAATGAAATACGTGTCGCTAAGGCACGTTCGCGGGGGGGCGGGGGGCGGGGGGCACATGTTGGCTCTTTCTGAAACCCAAACTAGAGGTCTAGAGCATACCTTGCCCGCTTCGTCTCTTGATAGCTCTTTATTGGCAGAAGGCCTCCATCAAATACAAGAATTGGTTTGACACCAAAATGCCGCAACATGTTAACCCGATGCATGCAATATTCAATATGCCTGCTTCAATTTCAAGGGGAAAACCATCACATGTGAGTTTATAGTAAAACCCCAAACATGTTAAAGAATTGGTGCTTAAACTATATGATCCACTATTTCATCTAAGACTTCTTAGATCTCATCGAAGAGTTCTGATATTAAGATATCTAGGTCAGAGCTGTACCGTAATAATTGCTAGTTAACAGAGTGGAGGGGCCGAGGGGGCAGCTGTGATGTTAGCGTTTGCAGATACTTCTGTACATAGAACGTTTTGGGCTAACCTTTCCCAGATTGAAACATTGTGTTATTGTAACAAAGCAGCACCAGATGGCAGCCAGGAGCCACACATATACCCCCCTCCATCCAACATAAACAAGCCCCAAACCACACCAAGGCAGACGATATGACCAAATAAAATGCAATACATTTCTACTACACGATGCCTGAGGCAATGCAAACAAAAAATCTCCCCTCACAAACGGGCAAAATCTTGAAGAATTGTAAGCAAAACACTCCTTTCTCCACCCGAAAAGGGTTTCGCCAATCCGGACCCAAACAACAGAATCAAACCAAGAAAACCCCTGCCCTCACGAAGCAATCGTTCCCAGGACTGCCACGATGTCGAAGGGCTCAGGTGCGAAATCAATCGGAAAGAACCACATTTCATCGATGCGCCCATCATGTGAACCGCGGCCGGCGGAACGGCTCAAGAAACCCTACAGTGTCGGAGCGGAAATTGGTCCAAGAAAGGAGGCGGCGGAAGGGGGACCTGGTGGTGGGGATGCCCTTGCAGAGGCGGTCGCCGCAGGATAGAGCGCCCTTGTGGAGCCAGGAGTAGGTGTCGACAGCCACCGTCTGGCCCCTGCAGCTCCTCCGCGCTAATGGGCGCCATGATTGACTTCAGCTGCGGCAGCAGCCCCTGGATCCCCATTGTCGCCGCCGCCGACGCCGCTGTCCCCTCCCCTCGCCTCTCTCTCTCACTCAAGTCTCTCTCCTCCTCCCTCCCTCTCTGATCCCAGTCCGAGTCCGCTGAGATGGTGGAACCCAGGAATGTGGAGGGATTTTTGTGGGTTTTCTAGGAAGGAGAAGAGAGGAGAGGAGAGAGCAAGGAAGCAGAAATGCCAAATGGACAAGGGAGGGAAGAATCACCGAATCAGGGAGGGACATTACGTTAGTGTAAAACGCCACGCCTTTTCGTCTTTTTACCTCGAGAATGCAAGCCACATTCGACATCGGGTTCGTGGTAAAACCGGATTTGGTTTCCTATCCATTAAATTCTAATGTTGGTGCAATATTTGAAGTTTGTAAAATATTCTATAAAATATTATTTTATAATATATTTAATTGGTATCATAAATACTATATTTTTCTATAAAGTCAACTAAACTTAAGATAGTTTAATTTAGAGTGGTTCTAGGAATTGATTTATTTTAGGATAAAGAGAGTAAAATACTCCCTGCATTCCTAAAAGAATGCAATTCTTGTCTTTTAGAAGTCAAAACATTTTTAAATTTACTTAAAACTATAAAAAAATATTAACACGTCTGATACAGAATGTGTTATTTAATTAATTATAAATATATTTTTATAATATACTTATTTAGAGTTGTAAATATTATTAAATAATAGCTTCTAAATTTAGTTATTAAATTTTAAAAAGCTTGACTCGATACAAACTCAAGATTGCATCTTTTAGGACAGAGATAGCAAGATACTTAAACAGATGCCGTTTTTCCAAAATAATAATAATAATTTTCTCAACTTAGTGAAAATGACCAATTACTTGATCAAATTGTTCAGATGGCCAACCCTTTGGAGATCAGTGAACATGAACCGATGGTCCTCTCACTACCGTCTTCTTTCAAATGACCAATTACTTGACTAAATTGTTTAGATTGCCACTTTTTGGCAATCAGTAAGTATGAACCAACGGTTCTCACTACTGCCGTGTTCTTTCGGACTATCCTTTTTACTTGAATCGAACCATTACAATGTAGCAGACATCGTTTGAATCCTTTCTTTTGTATTAGTTGCCAAGCTTCTAGCTTTGACAACTTCGGGCCATTTAGGAAGACGGTCTTTACATCAATCTAATGAAATTTTAAATCATAACATGTCACCAGTGTCAAAATAATTCTCAAGAAATCATTCTTACAAACTGGAGAAAAAATCTATGTATAGTCAACACCATCTTTCTGAGTAAAACCTTTGGCAATAATTCGATTTGTATATTCAAGATTGCCTTCTTGAGTTATGATTGGTCTTAAAGACCCATTCACGCCTGATTTGTTTTGAACCTTGAGGCAATTCAACTATTTCATAGACATTGTTGTCATCCACCCATTTTAACTCTTCTTCATGGCATCAAACCACTTTTGAAAATTTTTTTTCACAATACGTGGTTTGCTTAGATGAGATAGAATCATTTTCCATACTCTTAAGTGAATAAACCACGTAGTCATTTGAAATTGCGGGTCTTCTCTGCCTTTCAGACCGTCTTTCAGCAGTGTTGCTAGGCTGTGATACAACGATGCTAAGAGTATTATAGGACTTAACTTCATTAATATCCACTTTTGGGCTTATTTAGATGTCCTCGTATTCGCCTTAATCCACATATGTTGAGGTGGATTAGAGTAGAACTTAAATTATCTTCCACATGGATTGAGATGAATATGAGTACATCCAAACAAGGCCGAAATGGATTCTCATTCCCATTGATCTCACACGTTCTCAATGAACCAAGCATTTCCTGTCTCAAAAATTCACAAACTATGACTAGCATAATAAATTTTGTACCCGTTGGAATTTTTCGGACAGCCAATGAAGTAACCACTAACGGCACGCCTAGCGCCGGACGTCCGGACGGACAGGACGCATCCGGACGCCCACGTACGCTGCTGCGCTACCCCTGCCCGCGCACCCGTCTGTAACCCCTCCGCTCCCACACACATGCATGTGGGCCCAGCTTCCATCGGACGCCCACTCCCCCGGACACCTGACACACCCCGCACCACACCCCCATCCCCATCCGTTCGCCTCACCCCCGCAGGCGCACTGCCGCCCCGTCGTGCCCCTGACACGCCCCCAGAGCGCCGCACACCGCATCCACCGGCTCGCCGCGCCCCATTCCCTGGCGCCCCCTGACTCTCTGAACAGCATGAAACACATGTAACATGAAACACTTGAGTGTAACATACGTCTCAAAATAGATGAAACATTTAGAACATACAGTTGCAACATATATATGAAACATATGCAATACCCAGATAGAATACTTGCAACATTTGGAACATACAGTTGCAACATATGTGGAGCAACGGTGTGGGATGGGGTGCGCGGCACGGCAGAGCCTTGTGTCACGAGCAGGCGCGCGTCGCGGGATGGAGCGAGGCGGCGTGGGAATGAGCGGACGGTGCGACGAGCGTATAAGGCCGTGGAGAGATGAGTGGAGGAGGACGCGCGGGCGCCGTAGCCAATTGTTATCTGCCGCGTCCAAAAACACCGGACGTTCGAGTCAAAGCATTATCGAACCACTAATGGTCCTTACATAAAGCTTATTTTCATTTGGGTTGTATATAATATCAATCAATAATGGGCCTTGCGTCGAGCTTCTTTCCATATCGCTTCTGCTAGACAACCCCAAATATATGTGTCTAGGCTAGGTTTCCTTTATATCCATAGTTCATAAGGATTCTTAGAAGTTGCCTCACTAGGAACTCTATTTAGCAAGATATATGACAGTTCTTAATGCATGCACCCACAAAAATATAAGGTAGTAAATCATACTTAAAATAATGAGTATTTTGTTTTCCAAAAACAGTAGTTTGGATCTGTGAACACAGCCCCATCGTATCCGTTTTCTGCTATCTTGGCCTGACTTCACTGATCGTGGCACCCAGCAGGATCCAGCTGCTAAGATAACAGGCATATAGCAAGGCGGCTTTTTCTTCATGACCTGTCGTTCCCTCTGTTTTGAGTAACAATAGCATCCAAATTTTATGGCAGATTAAATTTGATAGCACGACCAAACAGAGACGAAAGAAGAAGAAAGGGGCTCTGCAATCTGAGATAAAGGAGGCCGTACTACATGAACAATAGACCTTTCATTTTCTGTATGTACAGTAAGAATGCTCAGGTCGTGGCAATTCTTCTTCGTGCATACGACTATGACTACGCGCAGCAGGGACGACGGGTTCTCTCAGCTCTGAATACACCAACGCAATAATAAAGAATCAAATCATGATGTCAGTTAGCTCGCCTGCTATCTACGTGAGCTGCTGCTGAAAATGAGCATATGCACAAGCATGGTGACGATCCCAGCTGGTATCAAGCTCTCGTATGATGCACGCCGTGCGGAGCCGTTCACGTCGAACTGCCCAGTGTTCACGTATTGGTTCTTCCCTGATGATGTGGTGACATTAACCGACATTGAACCTGCCAAGAGATAGTGTCAGTCACAAAGAAATGGGGCCAATAGTGTTAGTCACAAGGAAATGGGGGTGACAGATGACGATAATGATTAACTAAGGAACAGCCAGATTGGTTAAGAATCAGGGCTTACAATCGTAGTCCGCCCAGCCCATGCGCATGTTCGCCAAGTCATACACGAATATCTTATCCTTTAAAACAAGATCTGAGACAAGAGGGACCACATAGTTAACACCAAACAGAAAACAGTCAGGCTTCAGAGAGGCGTTACATATATAGCAACGATGAGAAAACAATGAGACTCCACAGAGGTATTATGTGCTTGGGCATTTATGCACATAAGTAGTATCTGGCTATCAGTGTAAAGCTCAAACTTATATCCTAGACCTTAATGCTTGTGCTTGATAACCATATCATGTAACAGCAGCCTGAAATCTTATAGCTAGATGCGCAATCTAAATTGATTAACTGTGTCCAGAGTTAGACTGGCTAACCTCCGAGTATAGTTATTTCTTGGCCCTGGTTCCTTTGCCAACCAATGCACCACAATACATTGTTGTCCTGCAACCATGATTGACATGATATTATAGCACTTGAGACAACCTCTCAAAGAAACAATTAACCCAGATATACAATGACTTACAACAGAAGCCTGCTGCAAAAGATAGTTCTCTGGCTTCACCGACATCGCAACGCCACCCATAAAATAAAGGGTTACGGTTGGAAACGATGAGTCAACACTGCCAAACGGTAACAACATTTATAAGGAACCCAGGACCTCAAAGGACAACAGCAGTTAATTTAGTTCCCAGAAAGAAAGTAAACCTGCTGGAAGTGATAAAACATTGGCTTCCTTTGCTGACTAGAGAGAACGTACAGATGGAGAGACTGCAGCAGCTATCTGCAGGTATGAATACAGACAGTTAATAACCATAACACAGATTTAGTAAGAAATGTAGACTCACTGTATATGGCCATTATAAGGAAAAGATTGTGTACCATATGAAACTCACCGCACTAACAAATGGATCATAGGCTCCATCTGCAAGGTATGCCAATGTTGTTCCTGAATCCACGATTGTTCCTTGTGTATTTGATGTTGTAAACAAGGAGGAATCAATGGACAGCTTTTGACCATTGACAGCAATGCTTTCCAGATTCAAGTTGTAATGAGGCCTATATTTCATTTCAAATATTGGCATAAGCAGTGGTTAGTATCAGGAATACATGAGCATGAGGCTCCAGAACTTCTCAATGCCAGAAATGGTTGTTCAGGAACCAACATAAAAGGCGTGCCAGTGCAGAGAGCTCCCGCTCTGTGCGGGTCAGGGAAGGGTGTCGATGGCAAGCCTTACCTCGCTGTGCAATGCGAGGAGACCATGACTCGAACCCGGGACCTTCGGTCACAGGCGGTAAGACTCTACCGCTTGTTCAGGAACCAACATAACATAAACTATATTGCTAGCTGTCACAATTCATAGCATATATTGCCATATTTAAAAATTATCACAAGTCAGAGTAGAATGGCTACTGAAACATAAGATGGCATGCAGATTTGTGAAATTTTAAACCCAAAGTAATTTCAGGGGAAGAAACTTACTGTGATGGAACAAGTGGACTATACACTAATCCTGGCTCCACAATTTCACCAAGCACAAGAATGCCACCACCATTATCTGAACCTTTCAGGCAATGAGAGAACACCTTCGGGGACACCCCAAGAGAGTTCAGTTGTGAAACTACAGACAGTTGATGCTGTCCGAACCCAAAAATTCCATCAACTGCCCTATCTGCCTTCGTCAGGTCTCCTGACTGTGAGTTGCTACATCTGCTTGGAAGAAATTAAAACATTCATGAGCTGGGAAATAATTTTCTACTGAAAATCTTGGTAGAAAAAAATCAGAGTTAGGGTAATGAGTCAATAAAATTGCAACCGAGAGACATAGCTAGACTTGAAGCTGACTAATAGACCAACAGAACAAGAAAATATTTTCAACTCCAGTGGCAATTTGAGTAAAATAACATCAGGTACTTTCAATTATTTAAAATGATATAGGACTCCAAGGAAACTGTACCCGAAAACAATAGAAGCGGACGAATTGGCGGTCTGCTCATTTCCCATGACAGTTTCGAAAAACATCGTGTCAGACACATAGTACCCTGATGTGCCACTCCCATCACCATAGGTGAAAGTGTACCCACAAGGGCTGCTTGGGGAATCTGAGGTTTGGCATATTGCTTCCCCTGTTTGGAGGGCAGCTGTACATCTATCATCAGAGCATGTTATTCTGGATGATGTTGATGAAGAGTCAGGGCTGAAGGACTCTAGCTGGATCTGAGGAACAAAAATAATAACCATTCGATCAGAAGGAGTTCCCTGGCTAACAAGTAACAATAGGTGAAAATTTATGCATTTGTTAAAATTCAAAAATAAGAAGCTGGCCTCACATTGAGTCCACTTGATGTTGGGCAGCCAGTGCAAGGACTGCAAGTTACCCACAATATGTCACTCCCAGTGTCAATCTGGACGAAGAATTCCTTTGCCGGGTTTCCTAATTTCACCCGGGTAAAATAAAGCCTGCAAATTCAAATTCAAACTTTATTACCAGACAAATAGGCAACTAGACCATGTTAAATAAAAGACAAAAGAAAAATGTATCCCTGTTATATACCAACAAGCCCAGTTGCAGAATGAAAATTGGAATGAATTGGTGAAATGATAATACTACAGTTCGCTGATCAATCACCAGCACAGCAGTATGTGTTGGGTAACAGATTGAGATGTGTATCCTAACCAAATTGAGGATAGAAAGGAATAGCATGCTTGTGTGACAATCGTGGATCGTAACATTCAATGATGACTTCAATAAGGTGTTATCTACTATTTGAACTAAAGTCAGGAATTTACTATTAGGGGAGTGGTCTAAACATATGCACACCACAAACATTGCCAAAAATACAGGCAAGAAAATAAATTTACTACTCCTAAATCTTAAATGGAAACCAGAAAGATGCCGTGGCACCGAGCGCCAGCCGTCAATGTCACTATGATTAATGGCTACCTATACCCTGCAAACAACCCTGCTTCTACAGCTTGCTCGATTTTGCTCCACAAACTTCTTCCTACTCTGAAAGTCTGAAATTGATCGTTCAAGAAATAGGATAGAAACGTAACAGAAGGGAGAAATCCTAAGTTGCCGTTTTAGGAAATCTATTTGTTTCCCGCCGAAGGATTTGACCCTAGGCAAAAGCAACGGAGGAAAAATGAAATAAAGTAAGGATTGCGTCGAACGGAGTCTTCACAACACAATGAGTCCTCTCCGTACAGGATTTCATTAACAAGTAAGAACTGGACTGACACGAGTATAGCAATGAGGCACCACGCAAGATCTCATTTTTAACATAGCTGCATGATTGGGATGAAACGAACGAATCTACGGACTGAAGCGAAACTCAACTAAACTCGCAAAAAAATTCCAAAAACACAAGAAGAAGAAAGATAAAAGTAACTCAACGAATTTGGTAGAATGCACGCGAAATCCACCAGCAAAAAGCCACCGAGTTAACAGCATAAACAATCGAATCAGCATCGGCCATTCATCAACCGGGAAAAGGAATGGACACAAGCAGCCTAGCCGACGAACTGCCTGCTGGCTCACCGCCCGAACCAAAAAAAACCGAAAAAGGCTCGAATTTCCCACGCTTCCACGAATCGCAAACAGCTGACCCAATCCCAACCGAACCTAAACCACCAGCAGACAACAGAGAGGAAAAGCGGAGGCGGCAGCTCACCCACCCGACCATGTACGGGTTGGCGGAGCCCTCGACGGGGAAGTCCACCACGCCGGCTACGGCCCCGAGCAGCCTCCTCCTCAAAACCCGGTGCCGCGCGGCGTCCCGCCGCCTGAGCTCCTCCAGGGCCACCCCCTTGTGAGGCACCGCGCGCTCCAGCCGCAGCGCCGCCGGTAACGGCGCTGCCGACTCCGCCGCGGCCGCGGCCGCAGCCGCCACGAGAAGAAGCGCCGCCACCGCGACGACCGCCACCTCCGGCGGCCTCATCGGGGGAGCCAGCCACCTCGGGCGCCGGGCAGGAGAGGGGCCGGTCCCCGACACCAGCCAGACGCGGGGAGCAGGAGCGAGCGCGTCTTGGCGCGGCGGCTGCTCGTGTGCCCGTAGCAAAATTTGCGGAGGCTCCTTTTCGCGACGAGCCCCTCGGAAGAGACGCTAATTCCACGGCGCAGCGTATATAACACCTCCTCGAGGCCCGAATTTGTAAAGGAGTTGGGAGTTGAGAGGGGTAAGTGTGAAAGAGAGGGGAAAGGATTACGTGTGGGCTTCTGTGTACGCGCCCGGCGGCCTCTCCCTCTATTCCGCTTCGTTCCGCCACTTTTATAGTTGTGGACTCCTTTTCTTCGTCTTTGGCATGGCCTCTCCCTGTTCTGGTCGCCTTTCTTTGCTGCCTTTGACCAAAGTGATGGGTTTGGTTTGTTCTCAATAATACTCCGATTTATTCAAAGAAGGCTGCTAAATGATGAAATCATGGATTGGAAAATCGATCCATCTTTTTAAGATCGAATTATTTATTTAAGATCACATTATTTATTTGGATATGATGAAATCATTGACACATTGAGCCACTCTCCAATAAAAAAACACGGAGCCACTTATGTCCAGGGCGGTGGCAATGAAAGGATTTCGGATATATCAATGTCAGTGAGGATTCTTTTTCTCTTTTTTTCTTTAGCCAGCATTTTCATGGAGCCCGTGGTAGTTGCCAAATGTAGCATCTAATAATAAAACAAACAGTTGATGCTAGGCTAACCTAGGAGTCCAGCATTATCCCAACAGAAATAGAGAATTATAAACATGAACAGCCTTTGTTGATTGTCATTTGGAATCCACTTATGAAGTCTAGAGTAAAATGCTCTAGAACATTATTTTTTCTCCATCGATGTTGACTTCTAGAGTTTCCGACAACATATTGAACTATCGTGAGCTCATAAAATAGAAAGCGCGTAGAAAATTTGAGTGAGGTTTTTCTTTTCTTATAACTGCATATTGATGGTGACACCCCCCTTGGATTGAAAAGGAAAGAAACAATAATGCACTACTATCAAGTATCAACTGATCAACACTACGACCACAGAAAATTTTAGTTTCTACGACCACAGTATATGCTAACCTGTCAAAGGATTTTGAGCCAATCATCTCTCGAGAACCTCCTTTTTTTTTTTGAGACGTCACCGGAGGGGTGAGAGCTCCACCTGAATGAATTCCATTGATTCCGGCAAGCCGGTAGATGAAAGGTGCCAAGGCACCTAAGTGGTCCGAGGACCAAGTGTCAAAGTGTTACATATAGGAGGAAGAAGAGACTAATGAATTACAAACATTTGACACCAAATATCAACTATGTAGCGATCTTCAGGTCCTAGACGAGAACCCCAGAGCCGGCAAGATTCCTTGTAGGAGGCGAGGAGGCGACGCAGACAGGGTTGAAGTTGTCGAAAGACGACGTCACGCTCATGCCTGTGGTTCCAGATGTGCCAGAAGAGAGGAGAAGCATCGTGGAGAAGTGCTTGGCGGGAACACCTTTCGGTCTGGGCATGTCCCAGAGATGATGGACTCCTGGAAGTGGACGGCCTTCCCAGCCCAAATGGTTCCAGAATGATTTGGCCACCGTACAATGGAAGATGAGGTGGTTACAGGTCTCAGCTAAGGCCGTCTGTAGTGTGGGAGCGGTGCCCCAAAATAAATGGGCCCGTTGTACAGTAATAGGCACCGCTGCCCACTCAGCTGTAGTGTGGAAAATTTTTGGGAGCGATGCCGTCTGCTACGGTTGGGACCCAGTTCCAATAAAATACTCTCGTTGCCTTCTTCGTTCGCGCGATGGAAAATTCCCCTTTCTGACAGCGCTACAGTGAACAATTATTGTTTATGTTTTGGCACCGGGTGAATGAAGATTCACCGCTTCCAACTTTTCTGGCCCCAATCAAAACAAGCACCACTTGTTGCAGTGTTGGGAGTGATGCCCAAACACTCTCTCTCCTCTTTTGGGCATCACTCTCTGACCACACTGCAGAAGGCCTAACAAGCTAGCGTGAAAAGCACCTTGAATTTGAATTGTTCTTTAGCGTAGAAATTAGGGAGAGCCGGAGAGGAAAGGAAGTTTAACTAGCTCGGTTAGTCGAGTGTGTGGATGTATGCCCAGACCATCTAGATTTACAACAAACGTGCACAACTGGGGGAGAAACTTCTGAAATTCAGAAACTCTAGAAAGAAACCTTGCTGTCAGGAAAAAAAATGACTTGAGCATCTTTCCGGGCATGTTCGTGTACCCATTGATCAAAATTCAGAAACTCTAGAAAGAAACCCTTGCTGTGAGAAAAATGACTTGAGCATCTTTCCTTCTTCCTCTCCCTTGACGGGCCAGGTAGAAGAAGAAATCTTCTTCCAGGTAGGTGGCTTGGCATGGCATGCCTGCCTGTGCCGTTGCTAGGAAGTTGCTGCCCTGGCCTGGACGCAAGTGGTTGGTTGGTTTGGTTCAGCCGTTGAGGCAATCAGGCTGAAACACTGGAACAACGCGGCAAGTTATTATTCCAGTCATGCATTGTGCATTATTTGCTGTTTGCAAGGCGTGTCCTCGTCAGCCTCTGCCACACGCATTCTTCTGGTCCTGCCCAAACTGTATTGCTTGCAGCCTTGCACCAAAGGGTGATTGAGAACCGACGTTGATACAGAGCCACTGTGCTGCCTCTTTTGAACATGAAATTTCGCATCAGCTCCGCGACAACTTAGAAGAAACTACTATTAATTATATATAAAGAAATATGGTTTCACCTGAAATGTTGGCAACCCAGGTGTTTAGCTGTTTGGCATTAGCACAACGGATTAGCAGTGTACTGTTAAAAAAATCTATTCTGAAATGAAAAAGATGCGAAATGGTTCCTCCAAAGCTTCCAGTTTCTTGTGTCCCGTGCCGTACTAACTGCAGCAAAGAACAAATGAAAGCCATGGCGCAAGCTGAAGTGCACTCCTGCTGCTGCAATAGATTGGGCACCTGCGTAGGTCAAGCAATCAAATGTGCTACACGGAATCTATGGATCTAGCGTGTGTTTCTTTGTTTCCCAACCCACCCAAGTTGCCAGAATTGGTGATCTGATGTGCCATCCTCTTATCTGAACAATGGTGTACGTACCCCTTAAAAGCTGCCTTTGGTGCATTTGTTTAGTGTTGAGTTGGTTAGGGTTGATAAAGAGTCGACAAAAAGATTCAGTAATCTTTATTAGCACAAAGTGTTTGTTTATTGTGTAGTACAGCGTGCCACATTCCCTTCAAGGATTCTCTTTACAGTATTATACTTCTGTGACGATGGTTCCTAAACAAAAAAAAAAAAAATCTATGATGGCGATGGTTCATAAAAAAATACTTTCATGATGATGATGATTATTTTTGATACAGTTTCAGAGAGAGAGAGAGAGAGAGAGATAATTGACTTAAAATTCTGCAACTGATGTGCATCCAAACAATGTACTATAGACATGATAATATACTCTACTGTGCCGAATGATTTTGAGTTCTGACGCTTTCAGGATTCTTGGTGAAAATAATGAGAATCCAGCCAGATGTTTTGGTTATTTTGATTCTTTTTTTCTCGATCATGCAAAAGTTTTGTGCGTCTTTGTATTAAGGTAGAAAAAATGTTTAATACAACACGCCTTAGCGGCGTCCTTGGTGGTCAGAAGAGTAGTTCACGGACGCTCGGACCCTTGATTGTTTATTTAGAAATTTGTACTAGCACAAGAATTGAGAATCAAAAATCTAAAAAATCCTGATGGTATGATGATTATAATCGAATTGATTATAAACGAAAACAAACTGAGCCTAGATCTGTCTACCAGAATGTCGCCACAGCCAGTTGAGAGTTTGAGACTAGTTCAACAATCAGTAGGATTGTAGGAATTGATATTGTACCAAACAACAGAGCATCCGGTTGTTACTATCGTGAGAAGACTAACTGGTGAGAACTGAAGAAAGTCAACTCGAGATTAGGAAGACAGATCATTGCTCAACAGTTGTTATATGTAGTCAAAGGAAGACCAGTTGTGGCCAGCAATGTTGCTGTGCTTGCTCTAGGCACAGTTGTTGATCTCCATAGATACAGCATTTTGCTAAAAATAAATTAACTTCCGCCATATAAGCATCAAATGTTCTTACTCACTCGGATCATACAAACTTCTTCCTTGTAAAACATTTTTCCGTGTATTATTAAGCTTTCGCCTTCCTGTTTCTTCGACTTTATTTTGTTTCCATTTTCCTGTCAAGAGGAAGTGGTCTACTAAGCTGTATTGCACACAAAACATATTATTTTCCCTCTTTTGGCCACTTAATGATACTTTTTTATTATTTGGTCTCTGCCTTTAATGGGTTTATCCAGTAGCATAGCATGTAATTGAAGAACTCACGAAGCAACTCGCAAGAAACTGAAGTAGCTAGAAGGAATTAAGAAATATTTACTCTAGAAGAACGATGCTCGAAACTTAGTGTCAAACCTCCTTGCTAATAAGCTAATTATACATAGCCTTAAAATCAAATCTAGTGCATCGACTTTGTTCCCTTAGAAGGTTAGCTGGGAATGATTTCTAGGGAACCGAACGAGCCCTAAACTGTTTAACATAAAAGATGCAATCCCTCCTCGCTGTTACGCTAACTGCTTCTAGTTATGCTGAAACTAAACAATTAGCTTTGGCGCTAAGCAACCTCAGGGGGGACACAGGTTTTGGAAAGGGAAAGATCCCGGAAAAGGGAGAACCAGAAAATAAGACCTGGTCGGGGATGTAGACATGTCACACTGGCTGGCTTTACCACGGCGGCCGCACCAGCACAGCCCATGGATGCATTATTATCAAAGTGTGTCCGTGGCCAATCCACCCAACGACAGATCGAAGTCTCTCTCTCTCTACCCCACTGGCCGAAACAAAACATAGAAATTGCAATCACGGCGCTAGTACTGCCTTTGTACGGCAAATTTCAAAGGTGTGTTTGGCATTTCGAGGAGAGAC